CCACTCGCCGGCTATCACAAAAGACAATTTTACAAATGTACAACGGTTGAATGCCTTTGGCTACAAACGAAAAGTTAAATTAATTATAGTTAATTGATTAGATGCTGCTTTTTGTGTTGCTGGATCGGTCGCTGAGACTGCTCACTGGCTCGGTTGGACGAAACGGATGAGAGCCGGTGCTCTGCCTCCAGCCGCCTGCCTAGCGCGCTCCTCTTCCTCCTTGAGCGACAGGATGTTTTCGGTGGTTTTGTAAAACAACCTGAAGCCTTCTCCGGCGTTGTACAAGACGGTGGCCCTGGTCTCAGCGTCCTCTAGTAGAAGGTGAAAGTCGGGTCCTCATAAGAGCTCCGGGAGGTCTTCGGCGCTCGACGGGTGTCCCTGGTGGGCGCCGAGTTCGTCCCGGAGGCCGTTCCAGCGAGGGCAGACGAAAATGGTGTGTTCTGCCGAATCGTTATGGTGCGGGCAGTGCCAGCACGCCGCGTTGGCCGCCCTGCCCATCCTGCTCAGGTACTGTTGGAAGCATCCGTGGTTTGAAAGGACCTGCGTCATGTGGAATGACAGGGGTACCCTGGGCACGGTCCTCTCCAACCACCTCCTGACGTCCGGCAGCAATCGCCGTGTCCAGGCTCCTTTGTCAGATGACTCCCAGCGAACCCGCCACAGTTCGATGGTCACCTGTCGTTCTTCCTTTTTGATGGCGGCTTTGGAAATCCGGGGCTCGCCGGGGGTTGGGACGGCGCTCAGCCGGTCCCTGATCCTACCCCGCTCGAGGGCCACGAGATCGGCGGGAAAACCTAACCTAACCTAACCTAGCCGTAGTTAATGTAACCAGAATGTATGACCACATATATAATAAATGTACTAAATGCCCAAATATGGTAAAAAATACATCAAGTGGTATAGACGGTATAGTTAAATCACTTAAATCTAATGAAAATGTTGACTTCGACAAGTCTGATACTCAATCAAACGAAAAACAAGCAAGAAACTCAGGAACAATAAAAAGTTATTCGTCAACGTAATATGACAAACTTTGTCGATTTTATAACAAAAGATGAGTACGTTAGTGTATAATCAAATATTTATATTTTTTTTATTAATTATACCTACCTAATTTTATTTATCAATTATTTACCCTTCTAATATAATTTATAGTAATACAATAATAAAGTATAGTTGATTATAATATATGGCAATATTGATTATTGTTTTTTCATCTGATCTAGTTAGGTATTCAAGTAATCATAAAACCTTGCAAAACTGAATGTTGTAACAAGAATGTTAGATGTAAAATAATTACCAAATGTGTGATCTATGTAATATATTTTTTAAGTTTAATATATTATTTGTTATTTTCTAAGCGTTTAAATTGTACTTACATAGTAACAAGTTGTTACCACTTACTACCAAGTACTAACTATCAAAAGACTGTTAGAATTAAAATTGTTTCTATATTTTATTATTTTCAAATTTAAATATATTCAAATACTTTATAAAATGTCTGTTTCATTTTTATTTAAATTGTAACAAGTATAAAGTCAGAGTCAAACAAAACACTTATAATAGAAAAAATTATAATTTGGTTAAAATTGTGGAAGTGACTCAACCAATAAATTACATAAAAAATCAATAATTGTAATTTGTAGCAAAACGATTATTTATACACTCAACATTTACACTGAAGTAAAAATATATTTTTAATAAAAGAAAAAAAATGCACATTAAAGGGCATAAATGGTAATAAAAGTAC